GATGAACTGGATATACTCCTCGATTGAGTATTCGAGAGGAAGATAGTTAAAGATATAACCGGGATCGACGAACATTTCATTAAGTGGATAAAAGCAAAACCAAGTCTTCATCTCTATAAATTAAACTCATATAAGTCGTTTATCTTAGTGTTAATTAAATTCTATCAAATCAAACTTAAATCCCCCCTTATTACTATTTATATAAAAGAAAAGCATTCCTTTCCCTGTGGATACGAACTTTACTTCACTATACTACGTATTAGTGTTGTATTGATAAATTATTTTGAGTGCATCTCACGACAAGTGCACGTCAATTTGGCGCCGTTGCCGGGGGAAAGGCAATTATTTTTTCTTTTATTGTATTTCAAGAAAAACAAATATATAAAGAGTTCTTACTTTCTCTATTTCTGAGCTTGGTGAAGTATATGGTTAAACACCGTTCTATAAACGAGATCACCTATCAAAGAAACCCAGAAATAGAACAAACTTTCGAGCGGTTGAGAAGTAAATTTTCTAATACCGACTCGGAGGAATCATCTATCAGAGATTCATCCAGCGCTAGTTCTCATTCTAGCGAGGCCGAAGATTCAATAACCATGGCTCTTGAGACAAGAACACTACGGGAGCTCACTGCTCCAGATCTCAATCAACAACCATTATGTATTACCTTCCCTACACTCGATGAAGGTAATACATTTGAGCTAAAATCTGGGCTCATACATCTACTTCCATCCTTTCATGGCCTAAGAGGAGAAGATCCGAACAAACACCTTTCTGAGTTCCATATTGTGTGCACAAGCATGTGCCCCAGTGGTGTATCGGAAGAACAATTCAAATTGAGGGCTTTTCTATTCTCCCTCAAAGACACTGCAAAGGATTGGCTATTCTATCTTCCTTCGGGAAGTATAGACACATGGGCGGCAATGAAAAAATGCTTCTTAGATAGGTACTACCCTGCCTCCATCTCATCTTCTTTAAAAAAACAAATAAGCAACATTGAGCAAAAAGAAGATGAAACATTGTATGAATATTGGGAGCGTTTCAAAAAGTTGTGTGCTAGTTGCCTATATCATGGTGTAAGGAATATTTGTAATTAGATTTTGATGATGCTAGATTAATTAGGACTTTAGTGTACCCCTCTTTAGACTTAATGTATTAGAATTTTCACTTGTAAAGTTCTTAGTTTAATCGACTTAGCAGAAAGCCTCCAAACCTGAAGACCTCCTAAAGCAGAAGGGCTCCAAGGGCAGAAGACCCTTTATAAACCTTTAGTTGAACAGAGGACCCTTGGTTCTCTACTTCAGAACAGAAGACCTCAGGGTCTCTGTTAGCTTTTACTCTGACAGAAACCCTCCTGGTTCTCTGTTGGATATACTCTCAACAGAAGTGCTCCAGACCTTCTCTGATCATTTCTATGCCAAAGACACCAGAAGGCCTGACACTTAGAAAAATTCCACAAAGCCGGGAAATCAACGGGAAGATTCCTTCAACGGCTAGGAGACTTGAACGGAAACGCTACAGTGCACGCATTAAATGCACATTTAATGCTCCCCATGCTCCGTAGAGTAATTGCAGATGATTGGCCACAATGTCAGGATTACTTTATCCCAAAATAGTAACCCGCCAACTTTACCGGGTCCTACTGGTCAAGTCAACTGCTCGCTCATTTAATGCAGTTGTCCTCCTTCTCCTCCAACGGGAAGACAACCTCAGTATAAAAGATACACTACGAAGAACAACCGGATAACTTTGCCAACTTTGCAATTTTGCTAACCTTTGCTACAACTCTGCATACAAGAAATTCAAACGCTTAAAAAGCAAAAAGCCTCCTTGAGATTAACACTTCATCATCCTCTACAAGAGAAGGTAGAAGTTGGAAAAATCCTTATTTCCAACTCAAGCAAAGTTCCAAGTGTTCTTCAACTCTTCAAGCTCATCACATACAAACTCTTTGTAACGAAGCAAGTTGGAGGAACCCCTGTTCTAAATAGAACCTCTTCTTTCACAAGAAGGACGTCAAGTATTTGGAGCTGTGAAGTGGTGATACTTCTGGAAAAGCTCAGTGAAAGGACCAGTCTTAGGGAAGTCGGAAGTGCATCCAAGAAGACATCTACACTTGAAGAAGACGTGGAGAGCTTCTTAAGTGATAGGGCTAAGGCATTGTAAACGGAAGTTTTTACAGCTTAGTGGAACAGTGGACTAGAGGAACAAGTTGTTCCTTGAACCACTATAAAAAGCCCTGGTGTCATCTACTTACAGCTTTTCATTCATAGTTTTTATTTGAACTGTTTGACTCCAAAGACTTGGTATCTGTGTTCAGCAGAACTGGTCTTGTGAGTTAACAGAAGGCCTACTGCCTTTGCTTCTCTGAGGCTATTAACAGAACTCCCTACCAGAACCCTATCCGCTGCCAGTCTGTTCTGCCAACAGAACAGGCTATTCTGTTAAATCTGGTACTTAGCTTGAAAAAGTTAAAAACCAATACAGTCTATTCACCCCCCCTCTAGACTGTATCCAGTACAACTGGGACCAACACATGGGTACACCGAGCAAGACCTCATCCTCTATTTTAATGATGGTCTTGCGGATCAAGATAGACGCATGGTGAATGCGGCATGTGGAGGGGGAATTGTTAACAAAACCCCTTCTCAAGCAAGGAATCTCATCTCGGAGTTGGCCGAGAACTCCAGACATTACAGTGGGCGACCCTCAACTCGAAGGGTTTCCGCAGCAGAATCCAACACCTCGTTGGAAAGCCAAGTTGCCAGTTTGACTTCTCTGGTCAAAGAACTTCTTCTGAAACCAAAGACTTGGGAGGTCAAAGCTTGTGGCATTTGCACAGAAACCGGGCACCCCACTGATTCGTGCCCATCCCTCCAAGAAGAACAAGTCAACGCCTTGGGTTTCCAAGGCCATCAACAGAAGAGGTATGATCACTTCTCAAATTCTTACAACCCTGGATTGCGGGATCATCCTAACTTGAGGTATGGAAACCCTCAACAATCCAACTCATCTTCTCAATCTAGTATGTCAACTGATGACATGATCCGGACTTTGACCTCAAACATGGTTACCATGCAACAAAACATGGGACAATTTCAACAAACCATGATACAATTTCAACATGAGACAAGGTCAAGCATTAACAATTTGGAAACTAAAGTTAGTCAAATTGCAAATGCAGTGAACCGACTTGAAATGAAGGATTTGGGTAAACTCCCATCTCAAACGGATCAAAACCCGAGACAACATGTGAATGCCATCATGTTGAGAAGTGAGGCAACATGGAAGGAGGTAGATCAAGAAATTAAGGAGGTGGACCCTGAAGAAGAAGTTCAACCGGAGGAGGGGGTCATAACAGCCAAGCTCCCTCCACTGTCATCATATGAACCAGTAGCCCTGTTTCCTGAGGCACTGAGAGAGACAAAGAGGCCGGAGAAAGATTCTGACATCTATGAGACTTTCGCCAAGTGTGAGGTAAACATTCCGCTCCTTAACTCAATGAAAAGTGTTCCTCATTTTGCTAAATTTTTAAAAGAATTATGCAAAACAAAAAGGAAAAATAAATTGAAAGAGAAACAATAGGTTAAGGTTAGTGAACATGTCTCAGCTATTTTCCAAAATAAACTTCCCGAAAAATGTAGCGACCCAGACATGTTCACTATTCCTTGCACGATAGGGAGCACCACATTTCCTAGGGCCTTGTTGGATTTAGGGGCATCAATAAATGTCATTCCTTATTCCGTTTATAAATCCCTACAACATGGCCCACTACATCAAACCGGTGTAGTAATTCAACTAGCAGATCATTCTAGCACTTACCCGAAGGGTGTGATAGAAGATGTGCTAGTAGAAGTGGAAAATATGGTTTTCCCTGTCGACTTCTATGTCCTCGAAATGGGAAATGATGATCAAACAACACATATCCTGTTGGGTAGACCCTTCTTAAAGACATCAAAAACTAAAATTGACGTATTTAGTGGTTCATTGACCTTAGAATTCAATGATCAAAAAGTAGAGTTCAATATCTTTCACTCTATAAAAGACCAAATTAAAGATCACTCTCTGTGCTCTTTAAATATTTTTGAACCACATGAACCGATATTTTTGGAGAAATCTTATAAAATCCCAATTTTTCGAGAAGAGGAGAAAATTGAGCATAGAAAGTCATCATTGGTTGAGATGTTGACAAGAACGAAAGTTCGGCCTTACTGGAAAAGGCCGAAAAATAAAAATGAAAAATGGCCAAATAGGGCCTTCAAAAATGAAACAAGGGATGCTCATGATCCCACATAAAACAAAAAAGAGTGAATAACGTCGTGCCGCGACGTTAAATAAGGCGCTTCTTGGGAGGCAACCCAAGTTTATATTTTGTTATTTTCATTCATTTGTGTGTGTGTTTTTACATTTTCAAAAAAATATATATAAAAAAAATGGTGTGAGGCATGATGCCCGATCGGGCAACACATGTACCCGGTCGGGTATATGCAAAAAAATCGAATAAGCCTGGATCGGGTAACCCATACTCGATCGACTCAGGGGTTGAAAATAATAACATACCCGATCGGGTACCACTACCCACCCGGTCGGGTATTGTTCAAAAAATTCAAAAAAAATTCTCGTAGCAACTTACCCGATCGAGTACCCGGCCTATTCGATCGGGTATCAACTCCTGGGCTGAATTTAATAAAACAAGCACATACCCGATCAGGTGTATTTTGAAAAAGGCTATTTTAGTTCGTAGCAAAGTACCCGATCGGGTACTCCCACACACCCGGTCGGGTAAATTAAATTTTTAACGGAGAATTAGTTCGCACCAAATCGCCTGATCGAGTATACCCCAACTCGATCGGGTAGGAGCCCGGATTTTGAAAAAATACACGCATACCCGATCGGGTATGTCACGCCACCCGATCGGGTACACCAACTTTTAACCCAAATCAGACCCCAAAATCGGCCACTTCATCTTCTCCAACTTCCCAAATTCGAAACCCCTCTCCCAAACCCACCATTTTCGAACCTTCTTTCTTCAATTACTCCCTCATCTCTCACCCAAATCACCTCATACAACAACCAAAATCTTCCCCTCACTCTCCTCTACAACCTCATACCCACAAAACCATCTCTCTCACCATATACCACAAAAACCGAAACCCTACCCAACTCACCCCTTCTCCGAAAATCAAGCTTCAACAAGCACACCAATGGCACCCAAAAGAGACAGGGCTGAGAGTTCAACTGCAAGGGGACCAATTCCCGGATTTGAGGATGTCCGGTTCGGCCCGGGGAATCAAAGGCAACGGTTCTTGGCTCAAATAAAAAGGCAAGTAATCCCCTCCAAATTTCTATGTCATGATGCTCTCACTGCTTTAGGCCTGTTGAAAAAAATGCGCAATTTATTTCATGAGTTGGATATGAACTTGATTTTTGATATGAAGTATAATTGTAATGAGAGGGTGATTTATGAATTCTTGAGCTCGGATAAGTTTTTTGAACGTGAGGAAGGGGAGGAGTTCAATAACGACACACTCACGTTTCGTTTATTCAACAATGAATACACAATAACGAGACATGAGTTTGCCCAACATTTTGGCATCCCCGTGGCCCATGAGAGGGGAATAACGGAAAATACAATAGATGGACACACCTTATGGGCTAAAATGACCGGAGAATTGAATGTGAGCGCGTCTAAACTTTCCATTAGTCACGTTCAACATCCTATTCTCCAACTTTTCCTAAAAGTTTTGGCCAATTGTTTGCTCGGTCGCCCTAACAACCACCACACTCGGATGGGGGACGTGGCCATCCTCACCCTATCCCTCTTCCAAATACCCGTTCCATTCAACCTTTTCAACCTAATGTGGGATCATTTGGAGAAAACTTGCAACAAAACGGGTAAAATTGTTGTCGAGGGGGGGGGGGGGTCATTATGCATTTGGCCTCCAAATTCGGCTATGTGGATAATGAACCAATAGCCGATCATTGTTTGATGAATTTGACTTGGCTTGGGAACGCGGGGTGCATCTCCTTCGCCCACAAAGACTACAACGGGAGAAACCACTACACGTGGCATATCCTACCCAAACCAACCATCTACTTCCCCATCCCCTCCAAAGAAATACCTAAACTTAGGTATAAAAGGGCAAGTTTTGAAATCACACATTACCTACTTCCTAATGCCATACCACCACATTTTCAAGCCCAAGCCGAACAACCCGAACAAATTGAGCATCAAGAAGCCCAAGGAAATGCACAACATGATATTCCCGACCCCCTCAAACCCACCACCACAACACATCCCCAATCCTCCTTACAACCCTCCTCCAACCGACTATTTCCAACAACTCTTGGAGGGACAACAAGCACTACTTGCCGGGTTCAACAAAATGAACCTCAACTACACCAACATGGGTGAACAACTTGCACAAGTCCGAGAGGAGCAACGGGCGGGCTTTCAAAGAATGGAAGAGCTACGGCAAGCCGACCTCCACCGCTATGAAGAGGACTATCGTAGGACTTATGGTCCTATGTACTCATATATGTCCCATCACGGGAATTTCTCTTCTATGGCCACTCCTCCTCCACCACCGTCTTGGTATGACCCCTCTCAATGGGGTAACTTTGGAGGTTTGAGCTACGGTGGTGGGGGCTATGATGACGGGATGAGAGACGACACTACCATGGGTGAAGGGGGCAATGAGAGCGGCACCAGTGGAGGCTTTGGAGGAAGTTTTTATGGCGGTGAAGGCGGGCACTAAGGATAGTGCCTTGATCCAAGTGTGGGGGAGGAAGACTCATTTTTTGGTATGTTAAAATCCCTTTTGTTTTACCTCATACTAAGCATTATTTTCTTGTACTCTTTGTACACACACACACACCCAAAAAAAAACAAAAAAAAAACAAAAAAGGGAAATAAATGCTAGTTAGGTTGAAAACCCAAAAATGGGCAATCTAAGCAACAAGGGCTTGAAAAAAAAATGAGTGAGTCGGAAAGGAAGGAAAAACAAAAAGAGATGCTAGGATGAAAACTTGAAAAGGCTCCTAGGCAAAACGAGAGATATGAGAGAAATTTGTTTTTGCAGGACATCATCTATTGAAGAAAAAAAAAGAAGAAAAGGAGAAGAGGAAAAGAAGAAGTAAGGAGCATAGAAGACCCTTAAACCCAAGGAAATGTTGTTCTGTAAACTCATTTACAATACTTGGTGGTCTTAGTTTCTTATTTCTTACTATCTTTGAACTTATGATCTTTTGATGAACATTGTATAAACATTTGGTTTTACTCGAGGTCGAGTAAAGAAACTAAGTGTGGGGGAGTTGACATTCATGTAAATTACATATTTATTTCTGCGTTTTTAATTAGTTTTGATTGATTATTACTTTGGAAATTACACACTTTTGGTGTAATAGTTTAAGTTGTAAAAATGTTTGTAATTTGTTTAGATTAGGTTTATACTGAGCTCAAACAGGTCCAAGATCACTCTAGGGACCATTGGTGAACATCACAAATGGAAGGAAGGTGCAAAAAATCTCAAGATTCTGCTTTTTGGTGTTGTACCCGGTCGGGTATGACCTATAACCGATCGGGTACCTTGTTGAAAAATCAAATCGGATCGGATCCGGGACATGGCAACATGCAGGGGAGATTTTGGCACGATCGAGTGTTCATACCTGATCGGGTGGCCGACATACCCGATCGAGTATAACCCAGTTTTTTATATACCGCGAAGCAACCAAGTACCCGATCGAGTGCCCTTACAGCCCGATCAGGTACACGACCCTGCAAGCCTAAAAAGCCTATAAATATCCCCTTTTCCTTCCCACAAAAATCACCAATTCACATATACTTCTTAGCTCAGTTTAGACAAGTTCTTTCTTTATATTTTCTTCATGTTTAGTCTCCAAATGAGGAGCTAAACTCTTCCATCTTGGTTTTGCTACTTTGAAGCTTAATGAATTTGTAAGTTGTGAGTTATTCTCTTTAATTTTCTTCCTTCAATATTAATTCTTCCTTTAAAATACTATTTCTATATCAATGTTGGGGAGTGTTACTAAGATGACAATTAGTTAACATCTTCACATTAGTTATATTAATAGTTATTTCTTCCTCTATGTTAATATTGGGGAGTGTTACTAAGATGACAATTAGTTAACATCTTGATATTAACTATAGTAGGATGTATACTCTTTAATATTCTTCCTTGAGTATTAATTAATTCCTATTCATATTTCATATTAATATTTTGAGCATTACTTAAAGGATCAACTAGTTTTGTTTCATATATTAATTATTACTAGAATCAATCGGTTAATACGCTTGTTATTAATTCGGTTCTTTCAACGGTAGTAAACTTGGATTATTAATGCATGCGTCTCATGGTTAATAATCTAAGGGGAATTAATTATATTGATTAAACCGATAAACCGTTTGTGTTGAGGTTATCAATCTCAATCGTTTTCATCTCAAGTTTATTGCTACTATCGTGTGAATATATGGCGCGTGTTCTATATTAACTCGGTAGTAAGTTTTATTAATGAACGCGTCTCGTTATTAATAACTACCCTCGATGAACTGGATATACTCCTCGATTGAGTATTCGAGAGGAAGATAGTTAAAGATATAACCGGGATCGACGAACATTTCATTAAGTGGATAAAAGCAAAACCAAGTCTTCATCTCTATAAATTAAACTCATATAAGTCGTTTATCTTAGTGTTAATTAAATTCAATCAAATCAAACTTAAAACCCCCCTTGTTACTATTTATATAAAAGAAAAGTATTCCTTTCCCTGTGGATACGAGCTTTACTTCACTATACTACGTATTAGTGTTGTATTGATAAATTATTTTGAGTGCATCTCACGACAAGTGCACGTCACATTTGCCAGAAAGTTCAGGAAATTCCTGAAGCCAAAGGACAGCAGAAGTCCATCCTCAAGCAGAAAGCCACACCAGAAACCCAAAACATCAGAAAGTAGTGGAGAGCTTCTCTGCTACAACTGCAGACAACCAGGGCACTTCAAAGCCAACTGTCCACACCATATAGTCTCCAAAAGACAAGGCCAGGAAGGAGAGAAGAAGTATGAGCACAGAAGAAGGAAGGCGCTCATCACTGAACAACCAGAGAAGGACCCCCTCTCTGAGACAGAGTCCAGCTCAGAATCAGAATCCGATTAGGCATTCTGTTGCCTTGATACAGAGACTGAAGACCTATGCCTTATGGGTCAATCTGATGATGAGGTATCCTCTACTTCTAACTCTAGTTTTTCTTCGGTAGGCAAAGCTTTTGATTCTGATTCAATGTCAGAATTTTGGGAAGAGTTTCAAGCCATCCAAGCCACTTATTCCTCTGTTAAAGAAGAAAACAATAAGCTTAAGGTTGAAATCCTTGACTTAAGAAAGGAGGTTGGGGTCAAAATCAATCTTCTGATTAAGGAAAGAGACCAGCTGGAAGCTGAAAATGTTTCTCTTCTCAAGAGAATAAGGGAGATAGAGCCTCTTGAGATCAAGTATAAAACCTACCAGAAGGTCCAGGCCTCAATGGAAAGGTTTGTACTTGATCAACAAATTGGCACTGGTTTTGGTATTGGATATAGCTCAACAGAGTCAGTTGAGCCTTCCATAATGCCTAGCACCAGAGTTGCTAAAGCAGACAAAGTCATAGTGCCACTGATTCCTAGCCCCATTTGCCAAGCTAGTGTATCTGGTACCAAGGTTGTTAATGAGAAGGTCAGACCAGAAAAGGAAAAGATAAAGGTTCAACCAAAACAAGTTTTGAAAAATAATGAACCTGGCAGAAAACCTAACAACAGAAAAGGTGTTCAAAATAACAGAAAACAAGAACAGAACTTGACCAGACACTCTCATGACTACCCCACCAAAAATGATCACCAGAAAGGCAAATATCAAGAGAAGGTTAACTTTAGGCAGAAAAGGTTGGCTGGTCAACTTAAGAGGCCCAAAGCTAACCGCTCCTCTGCTCTTGATAGTATATGGGACTTCTACCCAACAAAAAAGGCTATGCAGAAGTATGTAAACCGGAAGCATGATCCTGACAAGCATCTGCCCAAAGTGAATCACACTTCCATTTACTATGACTACCAGGTGGACAATGGGTACCACCCACCAAGGCTTCACTTGATGAGACCAAAGTGGTACCGGCTTCCAAGACTGCATGACCCCCTAGGACCCAACATTGCTTGGGTACCTAAATCTTCCTTTTAATTGTTGTAGGAACTCTGCGCTGGAGCTATCTCTGAGCAAGATTGGTACATTGATAGTGGATGCTCCAGACACATGACAAGTGACAAGAGTTGCCTTACAGAGTTCCAAAGAATCAAAGGGCCCAGAGTTACCTTTGGTGGTAATGACAAAGATGGTCAAACTAAAGGAAGAGGGAATCTGATCAGGAACCAAATAATCATTGAAGATGTCTCCTATGTCAAAGGCCTGGAATTCAACCTGCTTAGTGCGAGACAATTCTGTGATAAAGGCTACACAGTTGAATTCTCCAAAGAAGACTGTTCTGTCAAGCATGTGACAACTATGGAAATGGTTCTGACAGCTACCAGGAAAAGAAACATCTATGTTGTTGATTGGTCTACTGCAAAGGGAAGAATTTGCCTATTAGCTAAAGGAGATTCAAAACTCAGCTGGGAATGGCACAAGAAGCTGAGTCACTTGAATTTCAAAACAATCAACAAACTAGGAAGGGATCACATTGTTGATGGCATACCTAACATTGTGTACAAGAAGGAGAGTCTGTGCAGTGCATGCCAGAAAGGAAAGCAAGTGAAGAACTCCTTCAAACTCATTGCTGGAGACCTCTCTACTAGCCCTTTAAATCTGATCCACATGGATTTATTTGGACCAGTGGAAACTCAAAGTGTTGGTGGAAAAAGATATACTTTAGTCATGGTGGATGACTATTCAAGATACACTTGGACAATCTTTCTGAAGAAGAAAAATGAAACTCTGCAGAAACTACCATCTCTGCTGAAACTACTACAGAACGAGCAGAATCAGAAAGTCAAATCTATCAGATCAGATAGAGGAACAGAGTTCGTCAACAAAGTCATACAAGAGTTCTGTGATCAAAATGGTACAATGCATCAACTCTCTGCAGCCAGAACTCCTCAACAGAATGGAGTTGCAGAAAGAAGAAATAGAACACTCAAGGAAGCTGCAAGGACCATGATTGCTGAATCTGGTCTACCTCACAGATACTGGGCTGAAGCAATCAACACTGCATGCTACACCCAGAACCGGAGCATGATTCACAAAACTCATCAGAGGACCCCCTATGAGCTTCGGAAAGGAAGGAAACCCAACATCAGCTACTTTTATGCATTTGGAGGCAAATGCTACATACTCAATAATGGAAAGGAACATCTCAAAGTGTTCCAAGAAAAAGCTGATGAAGGAATATTCTTAGGCTACTCAAGCACAAGCAAAGCCTACAGAATACTCAACAAGAGGACCTTACTTGTTGAAGAATCGATTCAAGTCAAGTTTGATGATCTCAACTCTATTGAAAACATAACGGAGAACTTGGAGAAAACGAATCTAGAAGAATCACCAGAAGTCAGAACATCAGAAGTGGTCACCAACTCTGCCATACCAATTCATCTTCAGAATCCCATTCTACAAGACAAGGATAGTGATGAAGAACCTGAAGAAGAGCAAGAGAGACCAAGACAACACTTATCAGAACCTGACCTAACTTGGTTAAGGGATCATCTCCCAAACCAGGTGATTGGACAGATCAGAAGTTGAGTACAAACCAGATCTGCTAAAACCAGAAGAGAAGCAATGCTTGCTTGTTACATATCTCAGATGGAACCCATGACTGTAGAGGAAGCTCTTGCAGACTCAGATTGGATCAATGCAATGCAAGAAGAGCTTACTCAATTTGAAAGGAACAAAGTATGGGAACTTGTTCCTACACCAAAGCACCAAAATGTCATTGGAACAAAATGGATATTCAAGAACAAAGCTGATGAAGATGGCAACATTGTAAGGAATAAGGCTAGGCTGGTAGCCAAGGGATACTGCCAAGAAGAAGGAATAGATTTTGATGAGACATTTGCACCAGTTGCCAGACTTGAAGCGATCAGAATCTTCCTAGCCTATGCTGCCTTCAACAACATCAAGGTCTACCAGATGGATGTCAAGAGTGCATTCCTGAATGAAGATCTTGAAGAAGAGGTTTATGTGGAACAACCACCAGGTTTTGTCATTCCTACTCACTCCTCCTGTGTCTACAAGCTTAAAAAGGCCCTTTATGGTCTTAAGCAAGCTCCCAGAGCATGGTATGACACACTGTCCCTATTCCTAGTAAACCATGGGTTT